CCCCAAAACCCCAAAACCCCAAAACCCCAAAACCCCTGGATTCAAAATTTAGTAAATTAATTTTGAATTGAATACTTAGAGAATAAATATAATTAATTAATTAACTTCAAATGCAAGTGTCTAACTAAATGTTTTTCAGCTCATTTGAATTCCTGTAAAATGAGAGATCATGCAAATATTATGGTTTATGAGATCTTCAAGCTCTTGATAATTTCTCTCTGTCTCGCTCATTATTGCCTGAACCTTAGTCATTAAGTCCTCATCTTCCATTATAATGTCGTAATGTGCTTTCAGGAAACAGTTAATAAGTGATTGAATAAAGTCACTCTCTACCTTCATCTTGACTTAGCTTATGAAATAGTCAAGCATTAAGCTGATGTTATGATTGGGGTTAGAATTTTTGTTTTCAAAATCAAAATTTGAGAGACTTATGAACTCTAATTCGATTCCACTAGGTGATAAAGATTTAAGCAAGTCAGTTACTTCAATCCATTTTTGAGGTTTGTTATTTAAAGCTGTTTTTAGTTTGTTTTCTGCACTTTGCTTTTTATCCTATTATTGATCTTATTTCTTATTCTTTGAAAATAGTTATTCCTTCAGCAAGTCAGGTGTGGCATCATTTTCTAATAGCACTTTCTCAATATCAAACAAGAAGAAAGGAGCTTTTGGCAGTTCCTTTTTAGGTAAAAGTGGCTTATTTCTCTCTTTGATTTGCTCTAGATTATAGATAGCCTACCATTTAGAGTATGGCTAATTAGATAGTTTGACATATTTTGATCTAGATTTCAAATTCTAATTGTGAATTTCATCTAATTCTTAAAACTTTTGTTGAACTAAGGTCTTATCGTTTTTATCTTGGACTTATTTTTATTCCTCTTCAATGGAATAGAAATCTTTGTGTGAATACTTGACATTTTCAGTCTCTGAGAGAGTTGGGAGATCTATCATAGTTGGTTCCTTAGCAACATTTTAGATTACCAAGTTTTAGAAATATTGTCTATTAGACCAAAGGTAAACAGCTTTAGAGCCTATATGAGTAGTTGCTAAGAATTCACCTGAGGGTGCGAAATCGATTGATAGTGGGGCATTCTTAAATTAAACCCAATCAACCATCTGACCTGTCAATATATCCCAAACTCTAATCTATTTATCTAATGATGAGCAGATTATCCACTTTGAATCAGGAAGTGAGAAGCAAATATCAGTAATTTTATTTGAAGCTGCTTCTTTGAATTCTCTAACTTTACTCAATCCTGACTAAGCATTTAGTATTGTTAGGGACATATCTGTTTAAGAAAAGCAGACAAGATCATTTAATCTATTGTAAACTAAATTCTCAACTGGATATTCCGTCTTTAAGGTTTTAAGCAATTCTTTTCTGAAGAAATCCCAAAGTTTGATAGAGGAATCTTAAGATGAGGTCACACAAATCTTATTTAGTGAGTCAATACCTACTCCAGTAATTTCTCCTGTGTGAATGGTTTAAGAAGCTAATTTTGAGATGAAGAGACCTCTATCTTTACCACTTTAAATGTTAATTTTTTAAAGTTAGCCATTTTCATAGCCAAGTAATCCAAAGTTTCCGCATTAACTGACGGCTACTGCTGAAGTTCTACTTTTAAAGACTACGTTTTCAACTGCTACCTTAGAGATTGAATGATTGACATAAGACCATAGGAAAGGCACTTTGGATTTATTTTAGCAAGTTAGCACATTCTACCAATCTCTTTCTCTAAATTCACAGAAATCAAACTATGTAACAGCTCCAAAGCCTTCATCACCTTAATCTCTATTTAAATCAGATTTGGTGAGATTCTTCTTTGAAAAGTTCATGCTCTGGAATTCATTTAACAAACTAATATCTCTTAATTATCCATCAGCAGAGCATGAAATGATATTTCTGGCTCCTTGATTAACTGGATCATCTTTTCCACCGTAGAATCTTATTCTATGAGGAGTCTCAGCATGCCCACATCTTTCTTTAAGCAATCTTGGCTAGGTAATTCCCTTTTCAAAGAACCACATCTTTAATGAATTATCGTCATCTGAAGAGCTTATTAATATAGGCTCATTAGGCATGAATTAAAGATGAGAAATTTATCTTCCATTATGAGGGAGCTAGAGTATTGAATAGATTTTCTACTTATTTAAATCCCAGAAAACGATGTTTTGATCACCGTTCTAATTCTTGCTTGTACTTGCCATCAAACTTAAACCAAGTGATGTGTCGGATGAAAATGATAAGCAGTTAATACCACCATCAGTTTATTAGAACTTGAATAAGACTTGATCATAAAGAAGATTTACTAGTCTAATCTCTCCGTCTGAAAAACCAACAGCCACAGTGTGAAGGACAGGTGATTAGATAATCTAAGTAATTTTTACATTTTATCTCTCAGCTAAGATATTTTTATACTCGTATACTCTCTCATTGTCTATCACATTCCATAGCTCCATCTTATTGTCACTAGCAAAAAGCATTTTATTGATATATGAGGTTGGATGCATCATAATATTGAAATTTAAAGCAAACTTTGTTCTTTTAACCATACTGCCTGCTCTAATATTGAATATAATAAACTCTCCATCTTAGCCAAGGGAAAAAATAAAATCAGCCACAATAATAAATTTGATAATTTAGCTTTGATGACCTATATATTGATTTGTCTTATGCATTTTCTTCCATTATACAATTACTTAATTATCAAGAGCAGTATATATATAACCATCTTGGGAGGCTTCAATATACAAAATTTCATTCTCAATGAATCTTGACATATATACTAAATTCAATTTAGTAGTGTTATAGACATAAAAAGCGTGTCCCCCAACGCTGGTAGCCAATAAAATATCTTAGTCACTTTTGAAAATACAAAATGGGATGTCTGAAGTATAATAGCCAAATGCTCTATAAGGCTCAAATAATAATGAATGCTTGATTTCATCATTGCTGCCATTATTTGTATGAATTTTCCTATTAGTATTAGTAGTTTCCTGATCCTCAATCATGTCATTTTACTTGGCTATTTGCTTTTTGAAAGAGTCAACTGATGCTCCAGAGGTAGTTCTCTGCCTTTTGTGCAAAATTTTATCTTTGTTTTAAGACATATTAAATATATATTATTGCCATCAAAGCACAAATTTATCAATATGGGGTTTTGGGGTTTTGGGGTTTTGGGGTTTTGGGG